TATAGTATTTTTGACAAGATGCTGAAAACAGTTTAGCTCTACCATTTTTCATAGAAATTATTGTAATATTTATTAAGGTTTATTTTCCAAATAACATTTTAAAAGATGCAGAACAGACCAAAATACACTCAAAAAATCTTTATTTGGTATAAATTCTGAGATTTGTGGAACATAAGCCCAAGTAGATTAGTTTATTAAAACAATCATAAGTAGCACATTTAAACTCAGTATCACATGAACAATCTTCTTTAGATAGTACTTTCTCACACTGCTAACTGTTTGAATTAGTCTTAAACTGGATAGAAATAATTCCTATGAGCAAATGGATGCTTGTCTTTAAGTTCAGGTCTCTTGATCATGTGATCCCAAGACTAGGTGATTCCTGGCTTGTTCTACATTAACTCACAACTATGCACAAGCAGTTCTTCTCTTCACATTTCTACTTTCCTCAAATGTATGAAGTGGTGTAAAAGGAGATTTAGAGCAATCCCCATGCATTTCACCAAGGTAAAATGGCATTTAAACACTAATCAATTCTGTCCCTATACAATCCAAATGTTTCCTTTTGAATCGGAAATGTTGCACTTGCATCATATCCATAGAGGAAGAGGGGATAGGAAAACTGCTAGTTAAGCTGGTTGTTTGACTTGCTAGATTAATGGAAATGGAGAAAGTGAAATTAGTTTCAAACACATATTCCTCATAGAATAGTAAAAAAAAATATAGAATCTTTTTCTAGTGGGATTCATCAGGAGAAAAAAGCATTAAACACATACATAGTTCACTAAAAGACACTTCCTATCTCTTTCAAGCCTCCTACTAAGTGAGTACCAATTATGACACAGTTTTGAACCATTTATGTCCTCCCAAAAACAGAAATACCCATCTACCTACAAAACAGACTGTTGCTTAGAATAGAAATTAAATCATCCTCAATCTACTATTAAGAAAAATGGCAAAAAAGACCCCAAACAATGTTAGAACCCAATCAAATCAGAAGCCATTCTATTCCACATCCCGTTCTAAAAACCTAATTATTGCTTCTTCTAAGTCCATTTGGACTGCAATTTTCATTCTTAGCAATATCAACAAAGTTTAAGTGACACCAGACAATAAAATGATTCCCCACAGCTCACCTTTAGTGAAAATTAAATAATTTAACAGCCTTATTATATATATTCACAGAAATGTCACTGTGCATTATACCTGCATTTAAGTAAATTACTTATCCTGGAAAAGTAGTATATTATATAAGCCTTACTACATTGAACTGCTTGAAGTGTATCAGAGAGACAGACATTTGGTACATCTCTGTAGCAGATAGTATTTTCGTAGAGAGATGTGTATCATGCTTGAAAAACTCTAATTTCATTATATTACTGTAAGGTAAAACATCTGTGGGGCTAAAATGTGATTATAAGATAGTAGGAATTATGCAGTAAATGTATATCTATAAGTAGTGAAAATTCATAAATATATTTATTATCTGTTTACAAGATTATTTTTCCTAAGCTTGTATCATCATAACTGATAATATTACCATGCAACTAAGTGTTCTGTAAACAGGACACACTTAAATCAACTACAACATTATACCAGCCCAATAAGTGAAAGGAACTTTCAGACATTTTTAAAATTATAATTTATTAGTTCCAGAGAGTGGTATATTAAGCTTTAGAGTGCTCTTTTTCCTCTTTACAATTTTGCAAGCAATACATTATGTTATATCCTCGTTTAAAAGAATTACCTTTCACCACTCAACAAGCTAAACTATTTCTTCATCTGGAAGAATTAGCATAGAGGCATAAGAGATGGAGAATGTACAACTTTTTTGAAAACTAAGAGAAGTCATGCAAATAATTCATTCCAAATAAGTATTTTCATACCACTCTGCACAACACTGTGTTATGTTGCTAGCAAATAGTAATACTATAAAAACCATGATAATTACAGTACTTGGCCATGTATGACATTAACCATAAAAGCAGAACTGATTTTCAAAAGCACTTGTATTCAGACTGTGCTAGTAATAAATATATTTTCTCTATGCTATGTTGCTGAAAACTGACGTTACAGACTTGTACTGTCCAATTCATTAAAAAAATTAAAATGTCTAGAATTAACATTAATTTTTCATACAATGATAATACAAACTACAGTATTATGTAGCCTTGTGTAATTTAAAATTAAACAAAAGCAGCAGCAATAAAATAGTATTGTTTGGTTACCAGCGCCTTATTTTCTTTTGCTTTTTGTGTCAGTAGTCTGAAAAACACTAGAGGCAGACATGAGGTTTTCTATATATTGTCCAAGAACCTGATTTTCTGATTTCAATTTCAAATTTTCTTCTTTAACAGCATCTACTCTTGCAGACAGATCTGTAAAGACATGTAGAGGTCTTTAGCAGCCAACTTTTAGGCACATTTTTTTAAAAAAAATGCAATTAAAAATACAAAGGCAATTGTATAATGAAATCCATGCAATGACCCCAATAAATGTATGTGCATAGTTACAAAAAAACCCCAAAACTAATCTATTATCAGGTAGGGCATACCAAAGTCGGGATGACAAAACCAAAAATCTCACCAGGGCAGGTCTGTCTAGAAAAAGATGATCTTTACAATATTCTGGTTCACAACTAATTAGTAAATGTTGGAAAGAAATCTTGAACTGAACCCATAAATGGAGCAGAAGTTATTGCAATTATTTCATAGAATCATAAGGCTGGAGGTGTTCTAGTCCAACCTCCTTGCTCCGTGCTGGAATCCTCAAACCAGCCAGGACATCAATATCTCAACTCCTTAATCTGACTGCCTTACTTACCCGGAGTCAAAAGGAACTGACAGACACATTTAAATATACCTCATTTTAAATTGCAGTCATGGGTATAAGACTATTAGTTTTAATATTATGTTATTAGCCTCGCCCACAAATTAAAGGAAATATTCAAATATATTTACACAATCAGTTTACTTTCTCTATTAATAACATTCTATCTTAAAAATAATTTGGCATGAAGTTATACATCTAAATTAAGAAACTAACCTTCAAGTGTATGCTGCAGTTCCAAAACCTGATTGATAAGTCGTGTTTTTTCTTCTAATTCTACTTGATTTTCAGTCTCAACAGCTGATAAAAAATGCATAATCTTTAGAGCAGTTAAATATTACAACACACATAAAAGCAAAAATAGTAGTAAAATATATTCTACCATCCATATCCGCATTCATCATCGTTAAACAGATCCTTTCAGTCCTCAACTTCTTCTGAGATATGTTCTGTTTGAAGGACAGAAAACTATATCAATAGTATGCACATACACAGAATCACTATTTTCTGGTTTAATATTTTAGATGGACAACACTTGTTACCAAAACTTGAAAATGCAAGACTCAGCAGCCATTAAGAATGTCAAAAAAAGATAAATGATGCAGTAGCTATAAATGCTGGGTTAAGGGACAAATAGGTATACTTTTTATTCTAGAAAAGTGATCGAATTTTGCACATATTAAAACTATCCACTTCCCAACTTTTTATAACTTCTTTAGAATGTACATATTCTTAAAACTTTAAACAATTCTTCAAGCAAATATTACTGCAGCCCAAAGGAGCACATCCTAAAATTAAAATGGTTATCTGGAGGTCCAGCTCATTTTAAATATATTTTAGGGCAATTTCAGTTAATACTCTGTACAGTATACATACTTGCGTACAGTATAATGTGAACAGTATATTCACATTGTACTGCACGCAAATTGTTATATCAGTGTAATAATACATTTGTATTTTTCAAATTTGTCATGGTTGAATGCTATTGTGTTCTAAAGATTGGATTGGATCCCCTGTTACCAGAGAGGAAGGGAGGGAGGTGGAGAGATGCTTTTTCCGACAGATCCTACCAGTTTAAGCGGGATTCTTCGCATTTCTACTGCAAAGCCCTATTCGGAGGAAAATACGCCCTCTTTTTCGAAAGCAAATATATGTTTTGCATCCTGGCACGAAGAAACCTTTGCCTACATTCCATCAACCCATCATCCATACAGTCCAGCCAATTCCCCTCCCATCGCCACGCCGCGTCCCAGCTCCTGCAAGACTCCCCAGGGCAGAAGCGCGCGCTCGACCCTTCTTTCTTCCGATTTCGTCACCTGCCAAAGAGGCGCTCGCCTACTTACCCACCTGCCACAGGATACCCTGGCACTCCGACCCCAGCCGAGTTCAAAAGCAGCCACTACGCCTGCGCAATCTTTTCCTCGGCCAACCAGTAGCGCACGCGCCTTGTCCCATGAAAACAACGAGGCGGAGTGAAAACGTAGAAAAGGCGGGCTTAGAGAAAGGAGATTTTCGCCGTCGCCAATCACGGCAAAAAAAGGCAATAGCTTTTCTCGATACAACCAATAAGCGGCGAGAGACATCATCAGACACTTCCTAGTCATTCCACTTGTCGGCTTGCTGCTGCGGATGAAGACGGTTCCGCGAACGGAATTGAAAGGGAGGCGCGAGTGCTTGTTCAGATCCAGACCCCCTTTTTTTTTCAAGGGTGTGGTCCTAATTATTTCTCTTAAAAAGCCGCACCAGCAAATAGGTTTCAGTCCGAGTTTTTTTTGGAGAGGGAGAAATGGTCAAAGTCACGGATTTAAAGGTGCAGAATCGTGTTTTTGCAATAGGTAGCTATATAGGTGAAAGAAGGCAAACCTCCGAGAACATACTTTTATTTTAATTCTCCTTCCTAATTAGGCCGCACATTTGTAGTAAGAGATCCCGAACTGTTGAGTTACTCCGAACTGGCCTAAGACCCCCCAGCCTGGTTTTTGTCGGAAATAGAAGCATTTAAAATTTCTGACCTTGCTTTAAAAATTGTGTGCCAAAATGTAAATAATGGTTAGTTCGGAAATGTCAGTTGGGAGGTGGAAGAGAAGTTTGTACCTAAAACTTTGCAAAGACACCTGAAATGTAATGGAGTTTGCTGAAGAAAATGGTTACTTATTTAATATATGGCATATTATACATGGACTAGCAATAAATATTAACATTTCTCCTAGATTAGTAAAACAATAAAGTATATGGTAAATGTTAAAAGGTTTTATAAAATACCAATGTCTAGGCCATCTAACCATTGAAGCACAGCACCGCTTATATATTAAAAAATCAGTGGACCCATATATTCCCTCAGTTTAGAGCCCGTAATGATGTGATCTACAGTTTGATGTGGGACCCTCAGTCAGACTGAGGGGAGGATACTAAGTCCCATTTATACCGAGAGTCCTGGCAGCTGCCATGTGAGGTGCAAATCCTATTCAGGATTGTCCATGGCTGATATGGTAGTTCAAAGCCTGGCACCTTTTTTCTGAGGTCATTTATATGTCTGCCTCTGTGTAGCTGGCTTTCCATTGGGAATCTATGTTAAAGTTGTGCAGATGTTGTGCAAGTGCCAACGGGGGCTTCCTGGATTTGAGTCTTCCTGCTGATAAATGAGGAAAATCAGTGTGCACTGGTAGGGGTGAGTTGTTCATAAATTTTCTATATTCTCTCAATAGTGCATCTTGCCTTTGTAAAGCTGGCAGTGCTATATAGCTCAGAACAGGAAGCCAGCAGGTTGGAGTAGTTTCAATACATCCGTTTATATTCCTCATGGTGTTGAGTGTGGCATCTAATTTACTAATATGGCAGCAGTTGAGCCATACAGGGCACAATATTCTGCTGCAGAGTAGATCAACCTAGTGCTGATGTCCTGAGGGTGGTAGTTGAAGCTCTCCGTTTAGTTTCACATAATTTCTGGAGGATGCTGTTCCTAGTATTGATTTTTGCTGCCATATTCTCTAGATGCATCTTATAGAAGAAAGTTCACCCCAATGTTATTCCAAGGTATTTTGGATGGTGATTATAGGAGAGTAAGTTGTTTAAGTAGACCTTTCGGTCTATTGTTCATATTTATATTTTATAAGGGGAACAGCACTTTCTCATATGAGCCTCCTTCTGAACTGATATAGCTTGAGGCGTTTGTCACCTCTCACAATATTAACTCACAACTAAATATAATTTGATTAGTACAATATGACTTATCATATACATATCTTATTTATTAAATTTATATGCTGCCTATTTTACTAACAAGCAACATATTACCTTTTTACTTTGCAATACTATACATATAGGTAGTCGAGTTACAACAGTTCATTTAGTGACCTTTCAAAGCACTGAAAAAGTGGCTTATGACCTTTTTTCACACTTATGACCATTGCAGTATCCTTACGGTCACATGATCAAAATTCGGATTCTTGGCAAACTGACTCATATTTATGATGGTTACAGTGTCCCGGGCTCATGTGATCACCTTTTGCAACCTTTGACAATCAAAGTCAATGGAGAAATCAGATTTACTTAACAATCATGTTACTAATTTAACAACTGCAGTGATTCACTTAACAACTGTGGCAAGAAAGGTCATAAAATGGGGCAAAACTCACTTATAAATGTCTCAGCAATCAAAATTTTGGGATCAATTGTGGTCATAAGTCGAGGACTACCTGTACTATAATTTGGCTAGGATGGCTATTATTCTATTTTACAGATTGAGATTGAGAGAATGTTGCTCTTCCCAGAACCATTTGTCCTGCAATCTTTTTATATTTTTCAGAAGAAACACCCAATGTTCACTAGCAATTGTGACCGCAGTTGGATTAGCAACTCAAGTCATTAAATAAACCAGTCCCTAAGTGAAACTGCAAGTCTGCTTATGATCTTATTTCAGCTTTCCTTTGTTTACAGACCTGCAAAATTACACCTAATGCACAGGAGCTATAGTATCAGTTACAGCCCTTGTTGTCCCAGGCAACAGCCCAGTATGGAAATTTGCTTTCTAGCGTTCACTATTTGGAATGGGATATTCTTGGTTCAGTTCTCTTGGTTAAGGCCTGTCTAGCTTGGAAAACATAATGACTTCTAAAAAAAGAAAGAAACCTGGTTGTGAATAGCTTCTGAATCTAAAAGACTCTGTCAATACCTGTAATTAGGGGTAGTCCTTGACATCATAATTGGGACCAGAATTTCCATTGGTCAGTGATGCGGTTGTAAAGTACCGGATCACATAGTAACAGCAATCTCTGCATTTCCTGTTCCTGTCATTAATCAAATCCACAAATCATTAGCTGGAGACTCACCCCAGTCCAAGCCATTCCAGGTTTGGTCCCTCCTAGCTCTGAGTCTCAGTAAGGTAAGGGACTTAATGTTCAACTCCTCCCACCCACTTGTCTCCCCCGTCTCAGTCCCTTTGAGCATGCTGCATCCTGCCTTGCAGGGTGGCAAGCAGCCCCAGAACTGCAGGGCTCTGATGACAGGGCATTAGATTTGTCATTAGTGGTACTAATAGTATTAGTATTTAATAAATCTTTATCCCACCTTAGAGAGAATATTCTTATAAAACAGAAATATATTCAAATTAAAACATAACTATATAAAATATAATTAAAAACTCTACCACAGTTAAATTAAACTAACAGATGGTGGTAACAATAAAATGGTATTCAGCTCTGTAGACAGAGATTATAAAAACAGCTACAGCTCAAGTGCACTATAAGATTACATTTAAAAAGTGCAGCAAACTAATGAGTTCCTAATGGGGTTGAACCAATGGAACCTGTAGAATCCCAATTGAAAGAGAATTCCACTAGTGTGGGAGAAGACCTGTCTTTGTGCTTACGGCTACACCAAGGGTTAAAAATGTAGGCAGAGTGGTTTGCCTAAGGACAATCCTTCAAGTTCTCAAATTGTTCAGGGTTCTTGAAATTAGAATCAAGAAGTACAGTACTTACATTTAGATGGGATAATTCCCATGGCAATGTGTAACTAATATAATATAAACATTGTATGTTTTGCCATTAATTCAAACAAACCTTATGGTGTATATTTGTTTTAGTTCTCCATTCCTTTTATCTGATACCTATATTGTCAACCTAGTGAAGTAGTCCAGAGAAGCAGTACATCCAGAAGTTCTAGCTCTAACTTTATTGGGAGGTTACATTAACAGAATCTTGCCTTTACAGTCCCAAAAACTAGGCCGTGCCCCTTCTGAGATATTTGCCATATTTCCATTCCTTCTGCAGGCTCAGCCTTTCTTACCTGACCATTATCTAGTCTGTGGCACTTCCACTGTCTCCCAGAATCATTCCCACATACGATTACATCCACCCTATGCATTCAAAATTATTTCAAAATCCAGACCATTTCATGTTTACATGACAGGGATCCACTTTTAAAAAAAGAATATAAAAAATCCTTTTTTGCTTTAAGTAGTCCCAGATAAAATATGTAGTACTGGATATAAAACATACTCACAGAAGGAAAGTAATTGGCATTCACATTCACGGCATGGCTGGGAATGGAAAAGCAGGAGGGGAATCCACACATTGGGAGCTGAGGTCACTGAGGTCAGGACAGAATACCAGCCATTGTTAGAGCCAAAGTGGATTTGAAGGAGTTGAAATCCAAGAAAGGATTTCTTAATCCACCCTCATTTCTAGCAGGTTTAAACCTGGGAGACCAGCAGTTGAAGTCTGCAGTGTGGAAAAGTCCTGAGGTGACTGGATGCCGACTTAGATATTCTGCCCGTCAGTGAATATAGTTGGGGGAAGAGAACTTGCTTTCACTACAGTGACCTTTATGCTAGTCAGAGAGTGTCTGTATGCTTACAGTATGGAACAATAAGGGAACAACAATGACATTAATTGGCCTATTCTAAAATATGGAATGTATGGTACTAGCTTAACCACTCTTTCTCTTGCCTTGTTCTTGAGTCTTGTGTATTTAAGTTGTTTCAGCAGCCAAGCTAGAATTTTTCTCCACAGTGCATTAACTATTTGGGGGGGGGAATAGTTGCTGCTGACATCCATATGCATCCATGTGCATAGCTGCTTTACACTTTTTCAAAATGACTTTTAATTTTAACAGATATAATTGTTAATGCTAAAATACAAAGCAGAAGAAAAATCATGACTGAGCAAGAATTTTTAGTTATTATTTAGTTTAATTATTATCAAGGATAAAATAGAAGGAGCATAAAATACAATATTTACAATATTTATGGCACCAGCACAGCCGATGTATTTCAGTACCTATTTCCTTCATTTAAATTTCTCCTGCCTCTTCATCCAGGTGTTCAGTTTTCTGTTCCTAATTACAAAATTGCATATAGTATTATAAATTCAGCACTGATTTGGGTGACAGAGGGATACAGACTTTTCATAGTGTCAGCTTTAAGGTAATCCTTAAAGGGTTTTTGGATTGTCCTGT